GATTTGACTTATGTTAAGAAAGGCAAAGGTAGATCTAAAAAGACTTGGTTATAAAATATTAGAAATGATCTTTCTTTTTTAGATTTAAATGAGAACTTGACTTTTAACAAGGCATAATGACAAAAAAGGATTCATGTAGCCAACCCCACATAGTGGGACAAAGGCTTAATATTATTGTTGTTGTTGTAAGAATTGAGTCAGTCTGATTAATTTCAAGGGCATGAACATCAACAAAGAAACATAGCAACTCATTGCTAAATGAATTGGTTGATCCAATTTGATCATTTGGTGAAATGATATATGATTATTCGTATAAATGCAGCATAAGACCCTGAACTGTTATGTAACTTTTCAAGTTCTTTGTTCAATATCTTAAACCAAATACCTGCTGCAGCTCAAGAAGCTTTCTTTCCAAATCTTTGATGGCATCGTGACGCTCTTGGATTTCTGCAAGGGTGTCCACTACCTGCAAATAGTAAGTGGACCGATAGTTATGTTATGGTGGTTAGCATTTTTGGGAAAATATGAAATCAAGCCAGTTAATATAGGACAAACCTGACCACGTCCTTGCTCCTGGATTGCCTTCTGGAAGATTTGCTCGCTATTTCCTGTCTCTATCAGCCGGTCAATAGTCTGCAGAGGCAACAATTAGGGTAATATGGGTAGATCATACGAATCTAACTAGCAGGTCATTTATGCATTCAAAATGGACAAATCCCTACCTCTTCATCAGGCCGATTACCCGTTACTATTTGAAAGGAAACAAAGAACATTAAAAAAAAAAAACAATTAGTAGATTAATATGTAAACATGTTTATTCACATGGCAAGCATAATAGTAGAAGAAAGGGCAAAACCTGTGAAGACTCTTCTCTCAACAACCTCCCTATATTCTTGATTTATGGTTTCCCTAAGAGACTGCAAAAAGCAAGCAATAAAGTTCAAATCACTTATGTAAAATATGTATGACTAAATATTTCAGATAAAATATGTTACTTTCTCATACACCTGTGAAATAAATTTTTAAGAATTGAAACATTAGCAGTGGTAGGTAATTCAGTCCCAGATAGGTATCATCTACTTGATTTTCATTACATTGAAGGATAACATATGCATCTTGTAATTAATTGATCAACTCGGTTAACATGGGGGAATCATCTGCACTAATATTTTCATGGAAAGGGAAACTATCGTAATAAACAAACAAACTGAATAAGCATTTTACCAAAAAAAAAAATCTACAGCTTTAACTGGCAGCTTCCAATGGATTCTCCCACAATAAAATGGTTAAAAAAGGAAATTGCACTTAAATTTCCTCAAATTATTTAGTAAGGTTAGAGTGTGATGACGGATTACCAAGTTCAATTTGGGTTCGACCTGAAATTGACTCAAGCTGAAACCAATCGATCCAAATTTGACCCATTTATTAAATAGGTCAAAAAGAAAAGCTAGACCCAAACCCGACTCTCCGGCAACCCAGATGACTTGAACTCAACAGTATAACCCATCTTGATATAAAAAAAGTTTTGTAACTTATCAAGTATAGAGTTTAGGTTAATTAATCAAAATTAAAAACATTCTAATATCCAAAATAATTTTAAGAAAACAAACTATTAAATTGGTCATTATAGCATTATTTTCGGGTTCAGGTAAAGCCAAACCAACCCACCAATAAAATGGGTCGGAATTTTGGGGCCGATCCTTTATTAAACGGGTCAAACCTAACCCAAATTTTTTGAGTCAGGTTATTTATTGATACTTCTAAGTAAGGTGTAATATTTTTAACCCATTGCTTATTTAATTAAACATATATCCTTCTTCTCATAGAACATCAATAATCTATGTATAAATCCGCATATAGATTAGCTGTTTCTAACTTTTAATTTCTTGATGCATTGGGTCGGAATTTTGGGGTCGACCCTTTATTAAACAGGTCAATCCTAACCCGAATTTTTTGAGTCAGGTTATTTATTGATACTTCTAAGGTGTAATATTTTTAACCCATTCCTTATTTAATTAAACATATATCCTTCTTCTCATAGAACGTCAATAATCTATGTATAAATCCGCATATAGATTATCTGTTTCTAACTTTTAATTTCTTGATGCATTGGCTTTATTTACTTGATCCTAATT